AATATATTTATCAATTTCTTAAAATATAACAAAATTAACTAAATTTCAAACAACAAGAAAAATTATTAAATGCTATTTTATAAAATATTTATATCTAATTATTTAATATTAAAAGTTAAACACAAGAAAACTCCTTTTTACCACACACTAAGATATGTTGTCCAATATCTCAGCAAAAAGTAATCATCAAGATTATATCCCAAAATATCAACAATCAAGATGTAATCAGCACTGTCCAAAACCAACCTAGGGATGCATGGAATATTGTTCAAGATAAGACTCCTCTATATTACACACTAATGTACACTGCCCAATATTTACATTGTCCAAGACCAACATCGAAATATTGCTCAGGATAAGATTCCTCTGTACCATATACTGTTCAAGGTGTCAGCAAAAAATAATGGTCAAAATTTAATCCCCATAGATCAACGATTCACATTTAACACACATTGCCCATATGTACACTGTCCAAGACCAACCTCGAAATACTGTTCAGGATAAGATCCTTTTGTACCATATACTGTTCAAGGTGTTAGCAAAAATTAATGGTCAAAATTGAATCCCCAAAGATCAATGATCCATATTTAACACACATTGTCCAACGTCAAAGTCAAGTCACTATTATGCTGTTTAAGACCCAGCTCAAATACAAAGTAAAATAATTTATTATAGGGGCATTTCGTCTACATAATACAGTAAATGACATATAAATTCAAGTTTGGTCTCATAAAAAATTTGCCCACTCATCTTCTCTATCAACACTTATACCCAATATTTGTGTCATTCTTCTTTTTACTCTTCAAATGGAGGAATTTGACATCATAAATATTGAAAATTTTGATAACTCTTATCTTGTAGCAGTGTTTGTAAATGGAAAAATCACAACAAATGAGGAAGGGGTGTACTTTCAATGTGCATCTCCTAAACTTTTTTGAATTCCACACAATTGCACATTTATCATCTTGAAGGAAAAAATATGCATTTCTTTAGGGATTCATGTAGGCACCTCAATCAATAGGTTGTATTACCGACAACCAAAATTAACAGGTGATGGTTTAATTATATATAATGTTACTGAACTATTTTCTGATATTAATGTATCTAACATGATTACTTGGAAGCCACAATTCTCTTTTGATACTATATTGAATTATATGTTCAATATACAAGATCCATTGATGAAATAATGATGTTTTTAAACTCCCTATTTCTATCTCTTCCACAAACTCAAACAACATCCCTTCCTCTAAAGTTATAATTTACTTTGGTGGGTTTGTTCAACGTGCAACCATCATAGAAAGTCAAAATGGTTTTGGTCTTACTTATACATATTTAAACCCTAGAACAATGGTAATCCAACGTACATGATCTTTTGCTCAACTATATGAAAACATTACTCAAGTACTTGACTATGGAGATCGCAAACAAATTACTGAAATCAATTACCATCGTCCAATTTGGGTGCGAAACCAGAAGATCATTCACGACTCAATACATATAAAAACTAATGTTGATATGGCCCAAATGATCAACAGCCGGAAAAAAACACAATATTTATACCCAACTGTGCAACGTAAATAAACATAGGAAAAGATTGAATTGTTTGTTCAAGCTAAGACTATACGAAGAATAACATCTGACGAAATCATTCATGACTTATAAAATAGTACATACGTTGATAAACACAAGATAACAAGATCTACATTTACTTTGTGATTTATAATATGATTATTCAATTACCATTTATCTTGTATTATTTCTAATTTAATTAGGTTTCATGTATTGTTTCAATTATGCACCATTAATATATGATCTTTTAATATTTTATATTATAAATATAAATATCTATAAGTACAAAAATATAAATATATAAATATATATTAATAAAATATAAAAATATATGACTATATATTTATAAAATCTATATAATATATATATATATATATATTAAATATACAAATATATGTATTTATTAAATATCTTATTATATACATATAATATAATATAATATAATATATATATATATATATATATATTATAATTTCATATTTATTAAATTTATAATCTTGTAATTTATTTGTATTTTTCTAATTTTTTACATAAAATTATTATTAATACAAATTATTATAATGTCTTATATAAATTTATTTTTTATTTATTATTCCTATAAATTATGATTTTTATAAAAAATATTTCAACTAATTTATATTAAATAAAAATTAAATATTATATTTATATATATATATATATTAAATATATATGTATTTGCTATATTTATAAAAATATATTAAAATATAATTATATAAATAAATGTTTAATATATATATATATATATATATATATTATTCTGTTATATAATGTATATAACAAAACATAAATATGTATTTACCATATTTATAAAAATATATATAAATATATTAAAATATAATAAAAATATTTATATATTTTTCTAAAAAAATATTTTTACTTATTAAAATTATGTTATATTAAAGCTATATTTAAATAATATATATAATTTATTTATGTAAAACATAGAAATATATAAATATATATTTATTAAATTTTATTATATTTATAAAGATATAAATAAATATTTAAATATTATATATATTAAATATATTTGTATTTACTATATTTATAAAAATATATTAATAATATAATTATATAAATATATTTTTATATTATATAAAAAATATATTTATATTTATTTCATGTAATTATATAGATAATATATATATATTTAATAAATATTATTATATTTTAAAAATTTATTAATTTTTAATGTCGAATTCGGCAGTCCGCGAGTCGAATTTGAATTTGGACCATGCAGTGTAAATGTAAATTTTGTAAACAATGGTGTTATCAAAATATATTTTCTTCCGTCCCGTGCTTCATTGAAAAAAAAATCTTATTTATTTTTTCGGAGTGTACATTAGAATTTGTATTGTGCTTAGGTAGATGGAAAATATCAATTAATCTCCACTTGATTAAAAATATTTTTAATGTTTTTTTATCCGCCGTTAAATATATATTTAATATAAAAGACTTACTAATCTTAATGTGTTTTTGGTTGAATATAATGATAAATTGACTTATGTGATAACATTTTATAGTTTTTTTTATTATTACAATATAATGGAATAGATAATATATCTAAATATAAAGATCTCTTATAGTGAAAGTCTTTTTACCTAGAATAGAAACAATCTTATACTAAGAGGGATATATAAAGTGAAATAGAGTAACATTTAAGGAAACATAACAAACATAAACATCAACATGAAAATGAAAATCAACTGAACATGGATATTAATAGAACTAAAAAAGTTAAATATATAAATATATAAAAGATTCGAAAACTTAATTTTGAAAAGAATATAAATTTACTATTGTGGTTAATTCATAATTCAAATAATACTTATTCAAAGATATGAAAATAAAAATATACTTTCGTATTTCTGAATATCATATTATAATAATATTTTATTTTAAGTTTATCTTTAAGTAACTTTCAAATGAATAAATTTTAAATGTTTAATAACTTTTATCTATTATATACACAAGTTTATTTTATAATTTACAAGCTTTAATATAATTTAATATGTTCCTTATTTTAATTGAAGTATAATTATTTATTATGTATACGTTCAATTTTTTAGTTCTCTATTTCCTTATTATTATTTTTTATATAATTCTGTAAACGACACTAGTTATTGATTTTTTTTTTTTTTACATTATGTGTCATTATACTAGATCAATTGTAAGAAATAAATTTGATTGAACGAATTAGCTTTAATATTGATTAAAAAAATTATAAAATCTAAGAAACAATTTTGCAGCCTTAAAAACTCAAAAGATATTTTTTAATAAAAATATGATTAGTTTAATTAAAATATGTTTTTTCAAACAATCGTGATTAGATTTAAAAAGGTGTTTTAGGTCTACAAATATGTTAGGTCAGTCCTTTCTAGTTAAACAACTCCAATTCACATATTGCTGAAAATATTTTATAAACCCCATGGGTTAAATACTTTGACTTATATTTTTTTCTAACATTTATTAACCAAAATGTTATAACCTTAAATAAAAAGATCATAGTATTTTATTTTCTTCCAACCGTAATATCTTATTTTAATAAAAAATTTAGAAGCTATGAATCTTCCACTAAATTTTTAACTCCAAACTTTTCAATATTTTTCATATCCAAAAACTACAGTAAATTTCTAACTATTTAAATTTAAAAAAATATTTTTGATTGGTTTAGACTTTAAGGCTTAATTTGCTTGAGAAAATAAGTTCAAACATAACGTAAATTTAAAAAATGAAAATTATAATGATTTTATAAATATCAATCTTTAAGACTAAAATTAAAGCTGTAAAATAATAAAATTTTATTAATTAATAGTATTTATAACATTAAAATAATACATATCATCAATATTTTTGGGATAAATTCTTACCATTTGAAGTCTTTAAACAATAATCTAGAAGTAGTGTTAAAATCCTTATCCAAACTATGAAACGGAATTAACTACTACCTAAATTTCTTCTACATTTGTGATTACTTATATTATGTTGTCTCGTACAATTTAATTCCTTCATTTATTTATCATTATGGTTGGTTCATTCTTGGAGTGAATCTTAACCGAAGGAATTTTGTTTCCTTCATGAGTTTGAGTTTCCAAAAGAAGTGGGTCACCTCAGCGTGGACCCACACGCAGTTGAACCCGCCACGTGGCAGTGTAAGCAGGGGGCGAGTACCATCCTTCACGCTGCTGCAACGTAGCAGATCTCATCATCCTTGCGACCATGGTAGTCTCCATTTCTCTTTCTCTTCTTCACCCGCCTAAATTCTTTGACCTTCTCTATTTCTTTCTGATTCACAATCCCATTTCGCAAAAAGTGTAATAAAAAAGAAACCCTAACGTCGTCGTTCTCTCCCTCTATCTCTCTCTTTCGGGACCTCGATCCGCGTGAATGTCCAGAGGCGCGTGGTGATGGCGGGGAAGTCTGACTCAGTGTCGATCCGCGTTCCTTACAAGAACCTCCGACACGATTCTTCTGCTCCTGAGCTCGAACTCGTCGATATCCACCGCCGCGGCCACCGGATCCACGTCGACTCGCCGCCGTCAACTTACTCGCCTTCGCAGCAGAGCAACAATGCTTCCCTGCCCAATCTCGTTCTCAGTTGCACCGTCGCCGCCGGCGTCCAATTCGGTTGGGCCTTGCAGCTCTCTCTCTTAACGCCCTACATTCAGGTCCGGTATTTGCGGTTGCGTGTTTCACCAGATCCTTCTGTTTCGCGTGTCGATTTGTTATTGAAATTGGAATGTGGATTTGGTTTCTATATTTGTTGCTGAATTCGCAATGTGTTCTGGAGCGTGACTTCCTGATTAACTATCTGCTTTGTTGTTACCTTTTGGCGCAGACGTTGGGAATAGGACATGCGTTTTCTTCGTTTATTTGGCTTTGTGGCCCCATTACAGGCCTTGTGGTAGGTTCACTCTTCCTTTAATCAATTTGACAAATATAGTCATTATCTTTGAGCTCAGTTGAAGTATGCTTGTTTTGTAGTCAGCGTTTCGACCTCATTGGTTCATTTTAATGCTCCGTTTAACGAATTTATTATCTATTCTATGATCAAACAGTTGTATGCTTAACTCTTTTTTGAATTTATGTTTGTCTCTTGTTCCTTCCTTGTAGTGTATTGTTAGATCTGATTTGTTCTTTGATAAATAAATAAAACTGTAACTGAAATTTGCATTGTGAAGCACTTTTTTCTGGAATGTAGAGGGTGTAATGCGAACAAGTTTATGCTTTTGTTCTTGTTGCTTTTGACACAGTAAGTGACATGTTTGACTAAATTTTTCTTAAGGTTCAACCCTGCGTTGGTATTTGGAGTGATAAATGTACATCGAGGTTTGGCAGAAGGCGGCCGTTCATTCTGGCAGGATCTCTTATGATATCTGTGGCTGTAAGCATCGGTGACAATGGTTGTGTACTTTGATTTTACGTTACATCATATATGAGCTAAGTCAAGTCTTGTAATTTAGGTAATATTAATCGGATTTTCTGCAGACATTGGATATGTATTAGGTGATACACACGAGCATTGCAGGTTACTGTTGTCAACCTTTTGTTCTTTTCTTGCTCATTTTATTTCATCGACTAATGAAATGCATATATCTAAAATTGTAGAACATTTAAAGGGACTCGAACAAGGGCTGCTCTTGTATTTATTCTCGGGTTCTGGATGCTGGACCTTGCTAACAACACGGTGCAGGTAAGCTTGTTAAAGTAATTGGTATTTTTATTAAAATGTTAATGACAGAACTTTCCCAAGAGGAGAGTGAATTGGGTATTCAAAATCTTTTCAAATCTAATCAATTATGAAAGAACTTTTTCTGATGATCAACTATAGAAGAATTATAGCAGTTTTTAGAAAACAAGAATATGAAGATAGGGTGAAGAAGAAAAGAACTCAGCAAATTTATACTAGTTCGATTTTTCTTGAATCTACATCCAGTTTTAACCAAGCAAATTTAGGCTGAATTTTTTATTTTTTTACTTTAAACCAGATTACAACCTAATCTAAAAATCTTGATTAATTTACAACAAACTTTTATCATGATCACAATACTTAAAAATGTTTCTCCTCGCAATTTTCAAGTTAAACTGATGTAGCTAGTCTCACATACATCAAAATTCAATACAAGAATCACAAAGGAAAGATATGAAATGGATTCAACTTAGATTCACAGAACAATGCACCCTATAGCCAAACAATCTTTCTTTGAATTTGATCTTCAAAGCATGTTACAAAATCACCTACTTTTCTTAACGCCCTCAACGTTATTTCTTATTGTTTTTTACTGTTTGTAAAAGATATATTCGATTGAAGAAAGTTTGCATTCTTTTATAGAGAAAAAAAATCTGTTATAACTGTCGTAGATAATCGATTAGCAGGATATCTAATCGAATATTTGCGTGCAGTAATAGTCTGAAAATAAACCATATAATCGATTAGGTACAATCATAATCGATTATTAGCGCATTATGTTAAAACAAATATTTAGGCATATAATTGATTAAGTGACCACATAATCGATTATTAGCGCGTGTTATGAAAATATGATTTTGACACATAATTAATTAAGTACTTATCTAATCAATTAATACAGATTTAGTTTTAACATAATTGATTATTTTTACTTTCAAAGATTAGATTATTTGGCCTTATACAAAATTACTCACTCATCTATCTTATATCGGACATCATCAAAAAGTGATTTTTAAATAATCTTTCTTCTTTATTAACAATCTCCCCCTTTTTTGATGAAGGCCAACCAACAAAGTAAAAACATAGATTCTCCTCCGTCCAGCATAGTAAAATAGTAGTAGTTTGAGTAAACTCTTTTACTTGGAATAAACTCTTCTCCCCCTTTGGACTTAATAAAAAATGGTTAAACATAAAGTATAAAGAGTAATAGCATTAAAAAGCAAATATAATGTTAGAGTTATATCAAATGTTAGTAGTTACAGACCAGTAAATATGGCAAATATTATAATTCAAACAAGGAAATTGTTCCAGCAAATTTAAACATATGATTAAAAAGAGCATCACTCATCGTCATTAGAAGATACTTCAACTGTTCCAGCATCATCATCATCACTTCCTTCATTTTCCATTTCTGAGCCATCTTGGTCTTGTTGTAACATGGATAGAATAGAAGAAACCTGATCATCCAAACCATCAAATTTGGAGCAGTAATATTCATGTTTCTCCTGTTGCCAAAAATGTATCTTATCCAGTTTTTCTAACATACTTTGTTCAAAGGCAGTGAAATTACACTTAGTAGAGGAGGCAGGAATATCAGCATTAATAGGTTCTACACCTTCATCAACCAATTCTGCTTCATCTTTGAAGAACCATCCATCATCTCTCTTAACCAATCTCATATGGTGAAGAGTGGATTTTCCTATGATATTGGCATGGCTCATGATGGTGAAAGATTCTTCATCCACATTAACACCAACATATTCAAACACTTTTGATAGAAACACAGAGTAAGGTAATGGATCCAGAGGTAGCCAATATGATTTCCTCATGTTATCACTAACAACAGCAAGCCAGTCAACCTGAAATCTTGATTTGAGAGCATGTATAATATACATGTCCTTAAAAGTTAGTTGAGCATGATTGCTCCCCCTAGCAACAAGAATCCAAGTTATCACAAAAGCTAACAGTCTTTCATCTTTCTTCATACCACCAGTTTTATAAATGAAATAATTCTTGGCAGTATTGGGATTCCTAAGATAAGATCTAAATACAGCTAGCTTGTTGAAGTTTTCAAAACCACTAGTTATATTTTTTTCCTCCTATTCTAAAACCTGCAACATTTGTCCATATTTCTTCATCTAAAACTATGTCTACCCCTTTAACTTTAGACTAAATGACTCTATTTATGGTTCTTAAGTTGCAGTAGAAAACTTTGACCAAATCAGGGTAGAATACCCCATTCATCTCAATGAACTTCTCTAGTCCTTGATATACTAGTAAATCTTGAAATAAAAAACCATTTTGTTTAAAGAAAGAGATAGAGAGATACTTATGGGTAATCAATCTTCTTTCCTTCCAGTGAATAAGAAACTCTTCTCTTTGTTCATCATCACTAACCCAACCTTCTATAGAAGCGGGTCTAGGTGGTCTCTTGGAAGCAGTCCTCTTCATTCTCTTGGGTTTTGCAGTAGAAGTCATTTGATTTGAGTAAGAAGGTGAAGAGATGGAAGAAAAAAGAGTGATAAGAGCAACTGTGGATGAAATAGAAGCTAGGGTTTTGAATGAGGAGACTTGAGGATGGTCGAGAGAGTGAGAAGATGCAGTTAGTAAAGTGAGACATGCAGAGGATTTTAATTGAATTAATTTTGTACTTTCAATAATCAATTATATAAGTGGATAATCGATTAATAGCGCATGCATTAGAGTCTGAAGAATGTTAATTAATCGATTATGTAATTTCATAATCGATTATCAACGCATCATATAAAATCCTGAACGATCCAATTTAATCGATTATTTTTATTTTGAATTGATTATTTTAACATCCTCGAGGTGATCTAATCAATTATGTCAAATATTAATCGATTATTTCTATCAAATTTTCTGTAGACCAGTTTTTAATCAGAGTAATTTATGTGTAGGGAGAGGAAGAAAATAATCCGCAAATTTATACTGGTTCGATTCTTCTTGAATCTACATCCAGTTTTAATCAAACAACCTTAGGTCGGAGTTTTTTTTTTTTTTTTTTTTTTTTTTTTTTTACTTTAAACCAGATTACAACTTAATCTAAAGATCTGGATTTACAACAACCTTTTATCAACATCACAATTGAAAATGTTTCTCCTCACAATTTTCAAGCTAAATTGATGTAGCTAGTCTCACATACATCAAAATTCAATACAAGATTCACAAAGGAAAGATATGAAATGAATTCACCTTAGATTCACATAACAATGCACCCTATAGCTAAATAACCTTTCTTTGAATTTGACCTTCAAAGCATTTTACAGAATCATCCACTTTTCTTGATTCCCACAATATTCTTTCTTATTGCTTTTTACTGTTTGTAAAAGATATTCGATTGAAGAAAGTTTGCATTCTTTTATAGAGAAAAAATCTGTTATAACTATCGTAGATAATCGATTAGCGGGATATCTAATCGATTATTTGCGTGCAGTCCTAGTCTCGAAAATAAGCATATAATCGATTAGGTACCAACATAATCGATTATTAGCGCGTTATATTAAACCAGAGATTTAGGCATATAATCGATTAAGTGATCACATAATCGATTATTAGCGTATGTTATGAAAATATAATTTTAAGTCATATAATCGATTAAGTATTTATCTAATCGATTAATAAAGATGTAGTTTTAACATAGTTGATTAAATTTACTTTCAAATATTAGATTATTTGGCTTTATACAAAACTCTTCACTCATCTATCTAGCTATCTTATAATGGACATCATCAAAAAGTGATTTTCAAATAATTTTCCTTCTTTATTAACAAGTATGAGTTCTGTTATATATTATCTTTGTACTGATGCAGTTGTGCAGCAGAAAAATTGTAATCTCCTTTATTTCTTCAATTTAATTTGTAGGGTCCTGCTCGAGCACTTTTGGCTGATCTGTCTGGTAAAGCTTGTCTGTCTCACTTGTTTTCTTTGTTCAAATTCTAAACAGCCACCATGGGGATTATTGATTTGCATATTGTACTAAATACTTGTTTGTGTGGTAGTGAGGAGACATCATGTATTATCATTTTGCTTCTATTTAGGTCCTGATCAACGCAATGTGGCAAATGCTATATTTTGCTCATGGATGGCTGTTGGGAACATCCTAGGATATTCTTCTGGTGCTAGTGGAAAGTGGAACGAGTAAGACTTGGCTTATACCTTGTGCTTATTTCTTATTTCTGTCACCAATATTTGAAACGTGTTTGTATTAAATTGACAATGGGAAATAAGAGAAGGGAGAATTGGTTTTAGACTTGTGAAAGGATTATGCAAGAGAGTAGCTTTTGATAGGATAGTGTAGCCTACACAATGGATTGCAGAAGTGGTTTCTTAAATAGATTAATGTAAATCCAAAGTTAGAAATTGGGTTTTGTTATTGCTATTGTTGCTTTGCAGAAATATGCTGGTTTTGGCTTTTCTACATTGTTGTACTGTTATTGTATATTGTTCTTTCTATATTTCATACTTATTAATATTTCACCCTTTCTTCTCTAAGCAGATGGTTCCCTTTCTTGACCACTAGAGCTTGCTGTGAAGCTTGTGGCAATCTTAAGGCAGCATTTCTTGTGGCTGTGGTAGGTTACTACTGAATTCTGCTTGATATATTTTACTTGTTATTATATGTTGTCAGACATCATAACCATGACTTATCTCAGAATGACTATTTTCTTTTTCCTTATTACTGAAAAGTAAGCTCATACACTCCAGTTTGTATAGTTGTTTTTCATATTCATTTATTTATATTTCTCTTGGGGACATCATCTTTACCTGCATTATCTTGTTGTACTTGCACTTTCTTGTGGCCAATATCTCTACCCGCGTTACTCTTCTATGAAAGCAAAGAGAAACACTATTAGAAAAGTCTGTGCTTTTATGGCCTAATGTCATCAGCTTATAGATCTGCCAAGTTAAATCATATACTGTAAAAATGTTAATGCATAATATTTAATAGCTTGGAATCTCATAATACAATATTGGCAGGTGTTTCTGACATTATGCACACTTGTCACCCTATATTTTGCTGATGAGGTTCCACTTACTACTGCAAGTCAACATCATCACTTGGCAGATTCTTCTCCTTTATTGGATGAACAACAAAATGGTGTTGAATTTTCAAAGTCAAATCCTTTATCTGTTACGGATGGATCCAACAGTAAGATAACTAAGGATCACATTGGGAAAGATGCAGAGCTAAATCGTGGGAATTTCAAATCTGGGCAAGATACTACGGAAAATGTAATGGATGGGCCTGGAGCAGTATTGGTAAACTTGTTGACAAGTTTAAGGCATTTGCCTCCTGCTATGCATTCAGTCCTGATTGTAATGGCTCTCACTTGGGTAGGTACAGCAGTATTTATTGGCAAAGGTTTCTGCTGATATTTGTGTTTTCAAATCGGTTGTGATTGCAATTAGTCTAGTGCAGATGCTTCCTATTTGCAATCCTTCTTATGTTTCCTTCAATCATGTGTCTACCTGCAGTTGTCATGGTTTCCCTTCTTTCTGTTTGACACGGATTGGATGGGGAGAGAAGTTTATCATGGTGATCCAAAAGGGGGAACCTCTGAAGTAGATCTTTATGATGAAGGTGTTAGAGAAGGTGCATTTGGTTTGCTATTGAATTCTGTAAGAACTCAAGATTGAGTATAATTTTTAGAGATATTTGTCACAAGCTTTACTGATATGATCTAGATTTTTCCTTTTATTTTATTTTTTTAAAATTAAATTGGGCTTTCTGGATTTTATTTCCTTCCTAATTATTGATTTAAGTTATCTGACATTGCGTTTATGGCATAATAATAGGTTGTCCTTGGAATTAGCTCTTTCTTGATTGAACCAATGTGTAAGTGGATGGGCACGAAATTGGTATGGGCACTGAGCAATTTTATCGTCTTTGTTTGCATGGCTGGCACTGCTATCATTAGTCTTATTTCCATTCGAGATTCTGAAGGGATAGAACATGTAATTGGAGCAAGTGAAACAATCAAGATTGCTTCATTGGTTGTGTTTGTTCTTCTTGGCTTTCCTCTTGCGGTGAGTGAGTTGTTTAATTTTCACATTTGAACTATTTTGTTGCACCACCAGATTCCTTTTCCTTTCAGGTCTTCTCAAGCCATCCTTCTATTAGGTTTATTAAATATCTAATGAAGTTCATGACATGATAAATTTCCTATATTTGTGACAGATTACCTATAGTGTTCCCTTTGCTGTTACAGCAGAGTTGACTGCTGATTCAGGAGGTGGACAAGGTTGGTTAGTTGTAGATGATTTGATATCCTGAATATTTGGTCTTTCAAGGTTTCTGATTTCAAGATACTTGCGTGGTTATTCAGGATTGGCTATAGGAGTTCTAAATCTTGCAATTGTTGTTCCTCAGGTATTTTTCTTCTTCTCAAGTATTACTGTCTGTTACAAATAACCCTTTGGAGTTACAAATTATCTTGTTTTACATTGTCCTGTTCATATTACCGTACTAATGTCGTGCAATTTTCTGTTTTGATCTTTCCTATGCAATTAACACTTTCTTTCCTAACTTCTTCCTTATTACTATTTTTGGACAAAATTCCAATTGATCTTAAGCTTAGAACGGGTGCATAGAATTTATTATTACTGAAAAACCACATTGTATGCTTAAAAGAAGGTTTAATTACTCATATAGTCTTTCTAATTGTACAATTTTAGTCCGTGTACTTAAAATTCAGCCAGTTTAATCCTTACACATTATTTCAATCATTTTTAGTTTTTATATATACCATTTTTAATCTCTATTAGTCTCTGCTGTTTTAAGTTCAAAGAAATCAAAAGAGATTAAAAATGGTTTGTCTAAGAACTAGAAAGGATGATTTTTACAGAGACTAAAATGTAAAGTTTGTTAAATTACAAGGACCAAATGAGTGATTTAACTTTTAAAAAATAAAAGGAAAAGGAACCTATGTGGAATTTTTCCTCTGTTCTAAACTTGCCTCTCTATTCATTTCGTTCTAGTTTGTAGTTTCTTCTTTTTCTTTGTCTTCGTCTTTTGTGTAAAATCTGGATGAAATTGTTGGTAATATGGCTAATCAATGGTTGATTATATCTCAGACTTTGTAATAGTTTGCCATAATGACATCTTACACTTTTAAAGTTTAAATTAGTAAATGTTGTGAATTTCGTTTTGATATATTATTGGCATCTTTAGATGATTATATCCCTTGGTTCTGGTCCTTGGGATGCTCTATTTGGTGGTGGCAATGTTCCTGCCTTTGTTTTGGCTTCCCTTTGTGCTCTGGCTGGTGGTGTAATTGCAACTCTCAAACTGCCAAATATGTCTAGTAATTTCCAGTCAACAGGATTTCATATGGGCTAGCCCATAGCAATATTTTAACTTGTACATGGCCCTCTGAAATCTAAACTACACCCAAAATATGGAGAGCTGATCGTGATTTCTTGCTTTCCAATCCACACAGAAGGCGCATGCCATATTCAAATTCATTCATTTCCCCCACATTGTGGGTGTCTGTATTTTATGTAACTGACTGACTACACATTAGAAGAAAGCTTAGTTGCATATAGTAACACGGTTTTGTAATCTGTTATGCATTCACTTACGCCTTGTTCGGATGATAAGTGAAATATAGAGGAATATAATGAAATGAAAAGAAATAGGAGATATTAAGGAGAAGGAAATGAAGTTTTTAAAAAATGTTTGGCATGAATAGAAAAAAAAAAAGTGAAGTTGTTTTTTTGATAAATAAAAAAAATAAAAGAAATAAATAAGCTATTAATACATTTATATATTTTTTTAAAACTGACTAAATATCCTAACTTTTTATTTTATTAATTAATATAATATTATTTACTTAGTCCAAAACAAGTAAGTTTCATCCTCTATAATTTCATCCGGGAGGAGGGGAGGGATTGCAATTATTTTGTTGAGTGGATTTCACCTATCATTGCTTTTCCTCAATTGAATGAAAATATTTTTACTTTTCCTCTAAAATTCCACATGCTTAGTGATAACAATGAGTTAATAGTGTTCGAAGTACCTTAATAGATTCTTTGATCAAGCACAAAATTTCCTACGGAATGCTCAATTCTTTTATTTGTAGTTAGATATTGCTTGACTGGAGCATAACTTGAGCTATGTTTGTTAAAATAATGGTACATTGGCGTGTAGAATCCCGTGACCTGGAAGTCGTTTGAATGTAATCAAGGGATGTTTGTGGTGTCTACCATAACGCTGGTTAAAATATGTTCCTCCTTAATAAAAAGAAATGATATAAAATTTAATAGGGTTAAACCCAATATCCGTTTTGACAAATGAGCATAGATTGTGTTACATGCATTGTTTTCCAGCTGCGGTTGGAATTCTCCGCACGTGCAGTGATATGCACACGTATTTAATGAATTTTATAATCCCAGTTGGTGTAATAAAATTTCAATTAGGCATATAGCGGCAAAACAAACATTGTCTGGCGTTGATGCAGGGTTGCCATGTGGTTGGGTGCAGGTGATCCATCTATTGTATATTGTTGGCAGGTCAATTCCCTGTCTTTATTTTTCCTGCTTTGCTTTCTTTTTTTCTGCAAGAAAAGGTTAATGACCTTTATATAATAAAATGCCAGTAGGACATAGCAAAAACAAACGTGCTCCTAGTACATTATTCAATTGGGGACACGCCAAAGGAATTTCTATCTTTAGACTAAATTTTATTTCACCTCCTTCTTCTGTTCTTTTTATTCTTACATCATACTGTATTCCAAACCAAACATATATTAAAATTACACTCCACACCAATTCACCTTTTATAGTCGTCATCAACTAATTTAATCACGAATCATATCCATCATTCACACTTGATGAAGTAAAATAAAATAAAATTGTATATATAAATAAATTTGATAAAGTGATAAAAATGAGATATAAACTATTAACAGTCTGACATCCTTATATTATTATTATTTACAAAAATAATGTGAGGTAAATCTTGATATATATATATATATATATATATATATATAATAGTTCTAAGAAAAAAATTGTAAATAAATACAATTTTTTCTTTCTTTTTAAATATGTTTATATGTTTATTCCTTTAAAGTGAAAAAATTATCAATAATATTTACATTTCAACTCCTAAAAAGAGTTTTTAAGAGTTGAAAAGAAAGTTGTAATGATTATAAAGAAAGGATGTGAAAAGTTTGATACTTCGTCTATTTAAGTTAATAATTTTAAGTTCATTATATACAAAATTAAAATAAAAAAATATAATATATAATCATATATTAAAATAATATTTAAAAGAATTTTTTGATATATTTTATTTTATATTAGGAATATTTGGATTTTAAAATAACTCATAAAAAATAAATGAGTCTTTTATCATGATTAACAGTAACATAAATTATTTGAATGGATATTTATTTATTTAAATATTGAAGGTCCAAAGTTTAATTATAATATCAAATCTTCATTTTTAAAATTATATTATTATTATTCTATATATAAAAAGTAAAACACAAATTAAATAATATAAATATAGATTAATAATTTTTTTATAAAATAAATAAATATATATTTTTTATTAAAAAATATTATAATTATTTAAAAATATTATAATTTAATTTACCAAAAAAATATTAGATGATAAATTTTTGAAGTATCACTTTGTCACGTTGATATATCTATGTATGATTTCCCTTATTTAATATTTCTAATGAAAGTGTAACTTAACACTTTTTAATATCAATGAAAATTTTGAAACTTCTCCTACATGTACAAAATTTTCAAAATTTCAGTACACGTATCTTTAACAAATACTAAAATTACTTTAGATTATCTGTGAATGAAATTTAAATTTTTCAGAGAATTTCGTATTTTAAAAATTTGAATTGTTTATTTTTTAAATTTTGTTTACATAAACCAATTCCAATGATTTAACTTCAAACTATTAATCTGGATGAAATAATTTAACTTATAATGTGTAAACAACAATGTTTTAATATATATTTAAAATGTTAAAACTTTAATAGTAATTTGATAAGAATAGAGATTATCGTTTTTTAAATATTTCATAATTATAAAAATATTCAAATAATGTTTGCTATACTGTTCTATTAGATTCTATTTATATTATCATTATATTTTTTTATGTTGATTCTACAACGTCATAGATATAAATATAGATGATATAAAAGGGTATACATGTAACCTAATATCTTTATCAATAACAATTTATGTATCTCTCCCCATCCATGACATATTGGTTGAACCCAATATTGCACTACTTAGCTTCCTATTAGAGAATATCAATACAAAAGAGGGGTTAAATTAAAAAAAATGATAATATTGTAAAAATGAAAAAAAATATGACTTAAAAATAATTAACAAACAAGTAACCCATATACTTATTATCAATACTTGACAACAAAGTCATAAACTTGTTAAGAATTTTGGTAGATATATAGCAAGTCCACAAATGATAAAATAGATTTTTAATTATAATAATAGTTTGAGTATTATATAATTAGAAAAAATTAATGGGGTTTAGTGCAAGACAAACAATAAAAAATAATTAATAAAAGATAAATAAATAAATAAATAAAATATTAAAAGATAAAGAGATAAATATTTAAATATAAAAATAGATAAAAATATATATTAAACCTAAATTACTTTATGTAATATTAATTCCTTCACAATTATAATCAAATCACTAACTTTATAGATCATGAGTTTAAAAATGCTAAATTGGAATCAACCCATTTCTATCATTAAATTTCAATTCGGTATTACTAAATTCTAGGTTTCAAGTATTTTTCTAATATCAATCAAATCATAACTAAATAAGTAAAAGACAATGAGGCTTATACAAATATTTAGTACATGAAAGAACAATGTAACTAAATAAAAATATTGATAAACAAATAGATAAGCATGAGTTTGAGAATTGTAAAATCTAACCACAATAACAGAATTCAGTTATTTCAAAGACAAAATTCTGATGATGAAGTTTGATCCTTGATGAAAACTCAGAGATAGTTTTTAGCCATTTTAAGAATGTTTGAATTTTCTCCATAAACCTAAAGTTAGTTGGATTAGTATATATTTTTTTGAATTATATTTTTGTAATAAAAACTCTATCAGAGTAAAAAAAAAAAAGGAAGGAAAAAAAAAAGGTTGGTTTATAGCTTAAGTGTAAGAATAAGCTCACTTAAACCAAACAATTAAATATTGGCTTACTTAAGCATGCATTTTCAAATAAACTCTTATCTTTTCCTTATTAGACAAATGACATCTAGAGGGGTGAATAGATGCACAAATTAAAATAGATGTTAAATTAAAAATTTATTTGTGAGTCAATAATTTGTTTGAACATAGATAAAGTGGAAGCAATAATATAATCAGAAAAAGAGAAAGAGATAAGGGAAAGAGAAAGAGATAAGGGAAAGAGAAGAGCGCACAGAGATTTATACTAGTTCGAGTATAGCCAACCCTACATCCAGTTCCTAGTAAACTCTTAACACAAGAGTGACTTCCAATTCACTATCTTTCAAATTCAGTTTACAAATTACAATCAACTCAGCAGAAGAACCAGTAAAAAGTAAACTAATTAAAAAGACAATCATCTCCTTAGAAACCCACTAAGGATGAACACCTCCCTAGAATCCCACTAGGGATGAACACCTCCTCTGAACAAATCAAAGGATGAAAAACACCTCCTTAGAATCTCACTAAGGATGAACACCTCCCTAGAATCACATTAGGGATGAAAAACACCTCCTTTTCCACCAATGCAAAAAGGATGAAGGTAATAAAAATAAGAACAGACACACCTGGATAATTGAGACAACAAATTGTAGAAGTCTGTAGAATGACAATCTCCAAGAACAAGTGTGATTAACAATGAAAACACAGAAGGCAGTAGAGAAGAGGGTTGTCTCAAAAGGTGTAAAATATCTCTGTTGCCTTGCTCATAATTCTTTTCTCAAAACTGATTGAATGTAAATTGTATTTTTGAATTCTCGTAATTGTGTGTTTTTTATTTTTCATCAAAACTTAATTAAATAGAAAAATAGTATCAAAAAATGACCGTTGGATATTAATATTTTTATGAATAAAAATTAGGATATATTTAAAAATATTTATTCTTCAAAACAAATATATTTTTCAAATTTGAATTGTCATAATTTATTATGTTGCCAGTATAATCAATTATGACAAAGAAAATCATTTTTCTATTTTTGATACATCATAATTGATTATGATAGAGAAAAATATCATGTTATGAATTTTATCACACTTGTGCTTTGGAGGCTTATGCATAATATTATTTCATCAACTTGTACCTCCATATCCAGTATTTTA